TCTCCCCACCACCTGCTCTCTCTCCCACCATTAAACAGGGTCATAAATTGTCATTGGCTCATAAATCACCCAGGCTGAGGGGAAAGTTCAGTTTCCCTGATTCTTTGCCTTGGGTGGGGTCAGATCAATCAGGTAAATTATTTACTAGGCACTGGAAGAACTAGCTGCCGGAATTGGTCCTGCCTAGAGCAGGGCGCTGGACTTGATGACCTTCTGAGGTCTCTTCCAGTTCTGTGATTCTATGGTTCTATAAGGTCTCTTGTCTTCATCCTTGGTAATCAGGCTATTTCTACGTTGGGGAGTATCTTGTAAACACTCAGCTGTTATGCAGCCCCATTTAGTAACCAAGTTTCAAAGCCTTGTTCTGTCTTAGCAGCCCTATTGACGTCAACTAAGTTTATATTTTCACCCCATGAAAATGGGACTGGGATTCACTGGCTTGAAGCATTTAGCTCAGGGGTGGTAATAATTTTGGGGGGGGGGGCACTCTAAAAATTTGGAAAGTGGTTGAGGGCTGTACTCTCCCATGATATTAATGGAGGAGGTGTGGGTATGGGTGGAGGATTTGGTGCAGAGGGGAGCTTGGGGGAAGGGAGGGAATTTGGGTGATGGAGACAGTTATGATTTGGGGTGCTGGGCTGGTGTGCAGAGGGTTGGATTGTGACCTAGGACAGGGAATTGAGGTACAGGAGGGGATGCAGGTGTTTGAGTTGTGAGCTAGGGAAGAGGGGACTGGGGTGCCGGATCTGGGTACAGGAGGGGGACAGAGAATTTGGGTATGTGGAGTGGGGAGCAGAGGTTTGGGGAATGGAGGGGCTGGGGTGCCAGAGACAGGCTCTTGCCAGGAAACTTACTAGCCAGAATCCCCAGCACATTCCTGAATCAGCCTCCCTTCCCGCCCCACCCCTGCACAGGCTGCAGCCATGTGCTCTGTGAATAACTACAAGCCCCTTGTGTTTTGTGGCTGCCTGTTATTGAGATAGGCAGCAACCACTGGCCAATTTCTGGCCAGAAGCTGGCCAATGGGATTATCCTGGGAGCAGGAGCAACGCCTAAAGCTCTCTCCCCTCCAGGCTCAGTTTTTAAAGTGAAAAGGCCCCACAGCCACATTTGAGAGCTGCATGCAGGTGGGGCCTGCCTGGGGCTCCCCGCAGCATCTGCAGGCCAGATCCAGTAGCTTGGCAGGCCAGATCCAGCCCACAGAAGGCCTGATCCAGCTGAGAAGTGTTGACTCCTTCTCCCAGTATCAGGAACAGATTCATATCCTGGGGGTACTTTGAGACTGGATCTGCCAGGCAGAAGAAGAGAACAGGCTAAGACAAGAGGTGAAGACTGGGATACTAAAGAGGACATTAGGGGCAGGTGGGTGGGTGCAGGATGTGTGTGGGGATTAGGGCAGGGTGA